GTAGCGGTATATTTAAGAAACCACATAAGTAATCGCCTTATCTTATTCTTAAGCTACGTAATTAAGTTGAAAGCTAAATAATATTCAAACACTAAAAACCTTTGGATAATGATAAAAACAAACAATATTATCTTACAAACCAGCGGGGAGGAGCCGCTTCGCGACTCTCCCCCGCTGGACCCCGTCTAGGCCCTATGAATCGAGCGCCCTTACACATAAAGTTCCCCTGCAGAAAGAAAAACGCATCTCTCACGCAAACCTCTTTGTATTGGTATGCGGCGCAAGCTCGAACTGCCAGTCTCGTTTTAAGGCCTGCGGTGCATGTTTGATCGGCAGGCCGTTACCTCATCCTGCGCCCCAGCTTGAATCATTAGCCTCCCTTTCTGACCTGCGGCGCCAGCTTGAGCGGTTTGCTTCGAGATAAAGCCTGCGGCGCAAGCTTGAGCGGTTACCTCCCTCTTTAAGCCTGCGGCGCTAGCTTCAATGATTGGCTTCGTTCTAAAGCCCGCGGCGCTAGCTTGAGTGGCCAGCTTCGTTCTAAAGCCTGCGGCGCTAGCTTGTGCGGCTAGCTTTGTTCTAAAGCCTGCGGCGCTTGAGCGGCTAGCTTCGTTTCTAGCGCCTGCGGCGCTGGCTTGAGCGGCTAGCTTCGTTCTAAAGCCTGCGGCGCTAGCTTGTGCGGCTAGCTTCGTTCTAAAGCCTGCGGCGCTAGCTTGTGCGGCTAGCTTTGTTCTAAAGCCTGCGGCGCTTGAGCGGCTAGCTTCGTTTCTCTAAAGCCTGCGGCGCTAGCTTGAGCGGCTAGCTTTGTTCTAAAGCCTGCGGCGCTTGAGCGGCTAGCTTCGTTTCTAAAGCCTGCGGCGCTAGGCTGTGCGGCTAGCTTTGTTCTAAAGCCTGCGGCGCTTGAGCGGCTAGCTTCGTTTCTAAAGCCTGCGGCGCTAGCTTGTGCGGCTAGCTTCGTTCTAAAGCCTGCGGCGCTAACTTGTGCGCTTTTACCGGCGCTAGCTTGTGCGGCTAGCTTGAGCGGCTAGCTTCGTTTCTAAAGCCTGCGGCGCTAGCTTGTGCGGCTAGCTTCGTTCTAAAGCCTGCGGCGCTAGCTTGTGCGGCTAGCTTCGTTCTAAAGCCTGCGGCGCTTGAGCGGCTAGCTTCGTTTCTAGAGCCTGCGGCGCTGGCTTGAGCGGCTAGCTTCGTTCTAGAGCCTGCGGCGCTGGCTTGAGCGGCTAGCTTCGTTCTAGAGCCTGCGGCGCTGGCTTGAGCGGCTAGCTTCGTTCTAAAGCCTGCGGCGCTAGCTTGAGCGGCTAGCTTCGTTCTAAAGCCTGCGGCGCATTCTTGGGCGGGTAACTTCATTCGATACGCTGCGGCTTGAGTGACTAACTTCATAATAACGTCCCTACACGGAAATCTACTCCAAAACGCACTTTCCGAGCAAAAAGCAAAGCAACTACGATATCCGAGGATCGAACCTCCGCTGGTTAGATTAGCATGGCAAAGCGCGAACCACTACACCATGCAATGCTTGGCAGCACGCGCCAAGAACCCCTTTTGGGCATTGCCCGGGGCCCGGCAAGGAACGGCATTGAGAGGCAGATCCAAAGAGACGACCAAACTCGCGAGTGCCACTGGCAAGAATGAGGAAATTTGTATTTTCTCACATTATGCAAATTAGCCTTCCCGGACCCCCAAAAATCAATAAAACCGGCTTTAACTTTGTAAACTTGTATTTTATCGGGATTCTGAAAGCGCCATCGGAAAGAGGAGGGTCGATTCCCCCGGGTGACGGAGAATTAGGGCATTTTGGACACGGGAAGGCCCTCAAATCGGGCCTCGAAACTGACCTCCGCACACACACACAGACAAAGATACGCGACCAAATTATATAAGGTAGGATCAAGCTGTACGATACTTTTCAATGTACACAACTTACAAATAAGACACAGTACGCTTAAGACAGTCAAGAGGAAAGTTGTGGACCGCATTTTTCTGAAGGTTTTTGGCAATAGATAGAGATGTCTGTCACACCCTCCTAGCTAGGTATTTTTATACCGAATCTACGCCCCTCACCTTTCACCTATTTTTCATGCAAATCCGGCGAAAGACCACGAGAACACGCGGCGGAACCGAGCATACTCACCATGCGTGGGCATCCCTGCAGGTAAACATAATTTTTCCACGGAAAAGTGTGTATTTCATAAGCGGGTTGGGCGTGATGGTATGGACTATCCGTGTCCTGGCCAGAACAGGAGCAGGAGAGGTACTATTTCTATATTCTCTCTCCGTCTCTCTCTCGCCCTCTCTCTCGCTCTCTCTCTCTCTCTCTCTCTCTCTCTCTCTTCTCTCTTTGCCTTTTTAGAGACATTTCACTTCTCTATTTTTCTACCTCCGCAACTCTCTAGTTTAACCGAACCACACCCCAAAAATAAATCCTGAAACACCGGTAAAAGCACTTTAGCTACACCCGAACGCCTTGAACTTGCGGCGGAAAAAATCAGAAGGTCGGCTACAAACTAGCGTGAGCGTGCCCGGGTGAGTAAGCCCAAGTGACAGATGCGGAGCTTCGTAACATCGCAAATATGGCGGAAAGAGGCTAAATAATAGCCGACGGGTAACATCCGGGTAATTAATTTTGAATTAGTCTTCTATGACATGTGGTTCGGCATTGGTTCTGAACGATTCAACCGTTCCAAGACTGTGCCGAAAAATTGCTGGAGTAAACGTAAGAAGAAAATCAAGAATTTCAAAAAGGCTAAGAGATAAATTTCCTCAGGTCGTCAAGGGCTTTCGATAGATAGTAGAATAGACCGGGTACAAGTGTAATGAAGTAGCGAGCATCAGATAGGTCGTGGAACAAAAGGGAATATTGAGCTGCATATATTCTATTACAGTGAGATACAGGCAACGAGTGAGCATCAGCTATTACATGGAGAAATTGTCGAACATGAGGAAAACTTTACAAAGTTGCGGATGATTGGGATAGTTTTCTTAAAAAGTTTTTCATCGGTTTATACTTCGCTCATCTTTTCCAGAAATTGTGGTTGCGGCACCCGGGCCGGCTCGACATAGAGCGGAAGAATTTGGGACTTTGGCTGTTGTTTCGTGGCCGATTTCATCGGGTTCAGGTCGGACTCGCGTTCACTAAAACTTGGACGTTATGAATTTTGCTCTGGGTTTCTATATTCATTGTTTTTGACAAATTCATTAAAAACACAATTTTTGTACTTACCATAGATAGTCGTACGCCACCTTGCCGGCCCAGTTGTAGAAGCAGACTTCGAAGCCTGGGATCAGAACGGTCAGGCTGTGGAGGAACAGGCCGAGATCGTTGAGTTCTCCATTTGCTTTACACAGCCAGCCATAGAAACAGTCAGCGGATTCAGCTGGCTCTTTGCTGAAAAAATAAGTTGCTGACGTTCAACATGGGCTTAGCTGCGGCAAAAAAATGTGTTAGTGTTATTTAAATGACGAATTCATCATCTTCGCAATATCGAACTTTTTAGCCTGCCTGCCAGAAAAAAAATACTATGCAAATGTCGGCATATTAAAATTTCGACCTTACGAAATGTCGCCAAACGAAAACTTGAATTTATGAAGTTCGTTAAAATCATAGAATTTTTTTGCTATTATTAGCTATTTTTTTACTTACTCCTCGAGGAAAGCAATCTTCGCCGACATATAGTAGAACGCAAGTAGCAACGCGTTCTAAAAAGGACCAGAGATTTTACCAATTAAAAGATAGGGCTCACGATGGTGCTAATGTATAACAACACATAGATCGGCTTTTTGGTCCTCACGGCCATTAAAGCAAATATTCCCGGGATGACCATGGCCATCTATAAAATAGTCCTTCAAAAATAAAAATGCTTTTTTACCAGAATCATCCTGATAT